GCGCGCCCCCCATAGGATAAACCCCTCCAAAAAAAAAAAAAAAAAGAAACAAGAATTACTAATATGTATCTATTTCCTGTCTTTGCTGCTACCTTAGTCCTTATACTCTGCACATAATTTAAGATTTCATCTTTATAAGGAAATTTAAGAAATATTTTTTAATAACTTTTAATAAATGATACTTTCTTTTGTTTGTTTTTATTTATTATGGCAGTAGCTACAAATATGGTAATGTATTCAGTTTTAATAGTTTATAATTCTGTTTAAATTATCCCTAAGATGAAGGACCAGAAGTTGGTATAATGGCTACGTCACTGGACTCCCTTGTAGTCGACTGTGGTTTGCGTCCCGGACCCAGTGGCTTAAACTCACGCTGGCCACGTGTGCGTGTGTGCCCAAAATCCTCAGACGAGAATGGAGGAGAAGGGATTGCGGCATGGCCATCCCTCCCCCCGGGGGGGGGGGGGGGTTTTATTTCTCGCTTCTGTCTCTCTGCCTTTCTGGCGAGTGCATGTGCCCTATAGCAAAAACCTCTCCAAAAAACAAAAAGAAATTATCCCTAAGATGAGAATTTATCAAGAGTCCTTATAATATATCTATTACAAACATATTTAAGTCTGACCCTTTTTGGATTCTCCTTAGGTCTTTAAATGGATGAGATGGCTACCACTCAGATTTCCAAAGACGAACTTGATGAACTCAAAGAGGCCTTTGCAAAAGTAAGTGAGTATTTTTTGGAGTATTAATATAGACACATAATCTTTCCTTGGTTCCAGTCTAAGTGTTAATGTAAAAAATTGCATGAATTGTTAATTGCAGACCTTAGGGCCACATAGTTAAAATAGACGGGAATAGGGTCCGCAGGTGGTGTGGTGGTCAAGATGTTAGACTCACATACATGGTCAACTGTGGTTCAAGCCTCAGATCTGGCAGCTTGAAAAATCATGCCAGGTGCATGTGCGCATGTACCCAAAGTCCCGAGAAAAGAATGGAAAAGAGATTGTGACATGGCCATCCCCCCGGGAATGATTTCTCACTTTCCCTCTCTATCTTTCTCTGGCAAACGCATACACCCTAAGGCAAAAATCTAAAAACAAAACAAAATTAGAAAACAATAGCTGGCATGAAGTCAGCTTGAAAAATCATGCCAGGTGCATGTGCGCATGTACCCAAAGTCCCGAGAAAAGAATGGAAAAGAGATTGTGACATGGCCATCCCCCCGGGAATGATTTCTCACTTTCCCTCTCTATCTTTCTCTGGCAAACGCATACACCCTAAGGCAAAAATCTAAAAACAAAACAAAATTAGAAAACAATAGCTGGCATGAAGTTTGGGAAGTTACACTTAAAATTATATTATTGGGGGGCAGTAGATGGTGTGGTGGTTAAGGCATTGGACTGGCACATGGCCAACTGCAGTTTGAGTCCCAGACCTGGCAGCTTATTTTGTCACTTTCTCTGTCTCTCTCTGGTGAGTGCACATGCCCTTTGGCAAATTTTAAAAAAGAATAATAATTAATAAAATTAAATAATTCTTTTAAAAAAAAAACTGTATTATTCCTGTGGTCAATAGGTGACATGGTGGTTAAGGCACTGGACTCCCATACGACTGTGGTTCACATCATGGACCTGGTGGTTGAAACTTGTGCGTGGCATGTGTGCATGCTTACCCAAAATCCCAAGAGGATAATGGAGGAGAAAGATTGCAGCATGTCCATCCCCCTAGGGGTGATTTCTCACTGTCCCTCTCTGGCGAGCACGTGCTCTCTGTGGCAAAATCTAATAATGTGTGCGTGTGTGTGTGTGTGTGTGTGTGTGTGTGTGTGTGTAAAATTTCTAATTATATCTAGTATCTAATACGGTAAAGGATTTTTTTTTTGGAGAGGTTTTTTTTTGCTATAGAGCGCGTGCGCTCGCCTGAAAGACAGAGAGAGACAGAGAGACAGAAAGCGAGAAATCACCCCCCAGGGGGGATGGTCACGCCGCAATCCCTTCTCCTTCATTCTCCTCTTGGGATCTTGGGCACGCACGTGCACGCGCCTGGTGTGAGTTTAAGCCACCACGGTCGACTACGTGGGAGTCCAGTGACATAGCCATTATGTTAACTGCTGGTCCCTGGTAAAGGATTTTGAGCCCAAGATCCCAGTCCATAGCTGGCAGGTGTTGAGGTGCCTGAAATTTTAATGATGAATTTTGTATTTTTACTGTATCTTTTGTATCATATTTTTCTGAAGGGAGAGTTTGGAATTTTCACCATATTCTCAAAGGGATATGTGACCCTGAAAACACTACATGATGTTTTCCCTTTCCCTAATTAGCTCAGCTTTAGTGCCTTTTTCTTGCATCTTCTGAGCCTTTGGATAAGGCAGATTGTTTACCTTCTCATATCGAATTATCACATCGACATAAGATGACAAAGCATAGCTTACTATTTAGTTTATTCTTTTTTAAGTGTTTTCCTTTCTATGAGTGAGAGAGACAGAGAGAGAGGAAACACTCCAAGAGTGTCCTAGTACTGTGAACCACCCCCAAACTCCCGGCCTGTCTGCCTTCAGCCAGATCCAGATCACGGGCACTCATGTCCCTCGCATACTCAGGAAGGTCTCTGGACTTCAACCAGGAACCTTCCCGTGAGGAATTACCTTGAAGAGCTTTGCATTTTACTGCAGCACCACTGTCTGACCCCATATTATCTTTGATCATCATAAAATATGTATTATAATTCAACAGCTATGGAAGCAGTATATAGTGGGGCTTTTTTTTAATAATTATTTGTTTAATTTTATTTCTTATTATTATTTTAATTTGACCAGAGAATGAGAGAGAGAAAGTGAGAAAGCAAACCACCAGGTCTGGGGCTTAAGCCTTGATTGGCCATATAAGAGTCCAGTGCCTTAACCACCACACCACCTGCTGACCCCAGCAGTATGTAGTTTTTACATAGCAAATTTCAGGGACCAGCATTTGGTATAATGACTATGTCTCTGGACTCCCATGTGGTCGACGGTGGTTCAGGTCCCGGGCCCGGTGGCTTAAACTCATGCCGGGTGCATGTGCGTGCGTGCCCAAGATCCCACAAGGAGAATGGAGGAGAAGGGATACCCCCTAGGGGAGGGTGACTTCTTGCTTTCCTTCTCTGTCTCTCTGGCGAGCTCACACGCTCTATAGCAAAAACCTCTCAAAAAATAATTAATTAAGTAATTAAATTTAAAAATACATAGTAAATTTCAGTTTTCAGGTCAAAGCTGTAGAAGATAGCGAGAAAAAAAGGGTAAGAGCTGACTATTGATCAATGAATGTATTCTCACAGGTCAATGTGTACTTAGACTGTTATTATTTGGTATCTCCTTGATTAAAAGGAAAATAGATCATAATAGTTTGTTACTTCGATTAGAATTTACTTTCAGACCTATGTTTAAAACTCATTAGTGGAGGAGCCAGCTGGTGGCATGGTGGTTAAGGGCGCTGGACTCCCACATGGCTGACCACAGTTCAAGTCCTGGACCTGGCATCTTATCTTGCTTTCTCACTTTCCCTCTCTCTCTCTCACTCCGTCTCTCTCCTCTCTAGTTAAATTAAAAATATCAAAAGAAAGTTAAATAAAATAATTCTTTAAAAAAAAAAGAACTAATTAGTGGAAAGTGACAGAGAGTATGCATCTCTATTCTCTTTCCATATGTTTATGATCAATATCTACAAAGGTATCTATATAGTAGTAGCACCATTCCTTGAGTAGAATAATGATCACCATCCAGAGCGCCTATTCATAATCCCATCAAAATGTGAACTAGAAAAAAATGGATAGTCCTGAATCTACTTCAGTTTTGTGGGTATGTATTTAAAAGGCAACTTAATTTGCCAAAGAGACCACTTGCTATAAGAAGAATGCTACATAGTCTGGTTTTAGATTGATTATGAAAAATAACGAGTATGTTCTTCAATACCTTACCCTGCCCCCCTTTCTTTCATTATTCTGTAGAAATAGTTTTTACCATAATTGTTTTAGGAATCCATTTCCTTTGAACTTTCTGTGTTATTTATATTTATCTTTTAGTGTTGGGGGCAGCTTCATTTGTTTCTTTATGAATAGAATATTGAGGCAGGGATCATGTCATATTAATGTTACTGTTTAATCTCCTGTGCCTCACCTCTTTCTTGCTAAATACAGGCCCTATCTTCATGTGTGGCATCTTGGAAATACTTGTGTGCAATATTTTTTTGAAAATGAAAACTAATTCAGATATTGCTGACCTGATGGGATTTAGAATACTTTTATCAGTAAAAGATCTTAGTTCCAGGGGCCAGCAGGTGGCATGGTGGTTAAGGCACTGGACTCACATGGTCAACCACAATTCAAGTCCTGGACCTGGTGGCTTGCTTTCTCACTTTCCCTCTCTTTCTCTTTCTGGTGAGCGCACGCACCCTATAACACATTTTAAAATAATAATAATAATTAATAAAAATTAAATAATTCTTTTTTAAAAAAATCTTAGTTCCAAGTTAACCAGTGATCTCCGTGGAAGAAAAAGTTCAATTGTAGTGAGTGCTCAATCAGATTTGACTACAAGAAGGCTATTGTGGGACTATTGTTTCAAAAGGGTTTAGTATAGATAAACAGCTTCTCAAAGGCAGGCGACTGGACCATATGTCTTATTGAAGTCCTTAGCAGGCATATGTTCTTGAAATATTGAACACTCATAAATATATATATTAATATATGCTATAAATAAGAATTCTGGAGTCTGGCAGTATTGCCTGTTCTGAATGTTATTCGTTTCTCTTCCCTGATCACTATCTAATATGGCATTACACACGTTAAGTTCTATAAGTAATTAATTTGGGACCAGATGGAATAATGGTTACATCACTGGACTCCCACATAGTTGACCATAGTTCAAGTCCAAGACCTGGTGGCTTAAAACGCACGCCAGGTACATGTGCATGCGTACCCAAGATCCCAAGTGGAGAATGGAGGAGAAGGGACTTTGAGGGGTGAGTTCTCGCTTTCTGTCACTCTGTCTCTGTGTCTGGCAAGTGCACATACCCAATAGCAAAAATCTCTCCTTAAAAACTAAAAAAATAGGGTCTGACAGGTGACATGGTGGTTAAGAACTCTGGACTCCCATGTGGTCGACCATGGTTCAAGTCCTGGACCGATTAATTAAAATAAATAAATAAATAAAGTTAAATCAAATAAGTTAAAATAATTATTATAATTAATTAATTATAATTAAATAAAATAATTATAAAAATTAATTAATTAAAATTTTAAAAAGAAGGACCAGCAGGAAGCGTGGTGGCTAAGGGCACTGGACTCTCACATGTCCATCCATGGTTCAAGTCCCGGACCTGATGGCTTGCTTTCTCACTTTTTCTCTCTCTCTTTCTCTCTCTCATTCTGTCCCTCTCTGGCTACATTAAAAATAAATAAATAAATTGGAACCAGCAGATGGCGTTATGGTTATGCTGCTGAACTTACACATAGTTGACTGCAGTTCCAGTCCCAGACCCAGCGGCATAAAACTCATGCCGGGGCCTTTTGAGCTAGTCTTTATCTGTCTACTCAGGCCTGCACCTACCTCTCAAGAGTGTACTTTTGCTTTTACTTAATAAAGTACCTTTTCCTTTCACCAAAAAAAAAGAAACAAACTCATGCCGAGTGCATGTGTATGTGCCCAGAATCCCAAGAGAAGAATGGAGAAGGGACTGTGGCATGGCCATCCA